GATTGCACAACGACGGTACTCGTCTTGGGTGGATTCATGGCATGTGTAGTAGCTTGACCCCACCCCAAGCGACCACTCAAGAACCAATTTCAAGCAAGAAGCCGCGATGTCGCGGACGTTGGCGCGGGCAAAGGTGTGGTCTCCGACAAGCTCGCGGCTGCTGCGAGCCCACTCGACGCTCGTCGCCGTCAAAGCGTCCATCGCGATGCAGTCCGCGTTTCTCTGGTCCCCGTCCGCAAGAGCACCAAGGGTGTATACAGTCAACGCGTGTGCATTGGCTTAGGTGACGCTGTGCATTTTGCTAAAGCGGGCGCGCGCTTCGACATACTCGGAGTACGTGTCGCGCTTCCGGAAGTGGCTCATGTCCTTCTCGCGGTTGAGCATTTTCATCTCGGCGTCGTAGCCGAACGCCTCCTTGGTCGTCGTGCTGAGCTTGTACTCGGACGGGATCGGGAGGCCGTGGAGGATCCCGTTCATGTGCAGCCGCTTCGCCTTTGGAATGGGCTTGGGCGCCACGACCTTGTCCTTTCGCCGACCGTCGCTCATGTCCACCTCGTCGTTGTTGCTCGGCTTGGCCTACACGCATATAGAGATGGCATCGTCTCCAGCGCATCATCGTCCTACGCGCGACGCTTTCTCGAGTGGTGTCCCATTCACTTCTTTGAGCAGGCTACACCAGTATCATCTCGCGTGAACCATCTGCATCAATATGCTCGACGAAGGTAGTACGCTGCAATGTCGGCGTCTTTGGCGATCGGGTCGGCGCGAAGCAGCGCGCGCTCGTCGACGCGCGTCTTCCTGCCCTTGGACGCCGGCTTGGGCGGGTCGGCGAGGATCTCCTTCTCCTTGGTCGTCATCTCTTCGAACGCCATCGTCGTGCTCTTCCTAGCCAAAGCCATCATCGACCGTCGTCCGCGCGTTCGCCGTACCAGTCGTTGACATGGCCCTGGAAGATCGGGTTGCAGAGGCCGATGGTCTGCTTGAGCGACGCGAGCTCGCGGTCGAGCGCGTCGCCTTCGAGTCCCGTCGCTTGCTGCTGCTGCTGCTTGCGCATGCTGCGTTGGCTCTATCTTTAGGTCGCCAACACCGAGCACGAAAGAAAGCAAGACCAAAAAAGCAATATAAAGCAATCGCATGTTGGCAATTACGATCCTGTGGCAATACACTGTTCTCTTAGACCAGCGGCTCAATGTCCATCTCGACGACAGAGCACGGGTAGAGGAGCTCGTAGTGCTCGAGCACCACGGGGTGCAAGACGCCAAACGTCCCGAGCTTGAGCTTCTCGCCGTTGCGCGTGAGAACAATGTCGGCGCAGCGGCCAGGGAAGAAGGTCGCGTCTACATGGTGCATGAGATGACCGAGGATTCTGGAAGGGGAAGCGTACTCGACGACGGCACCATGGTGTAGAAGAGGTCCTTGTCGTGGCCCGCCTCGAGGCTGCAGCCAATGCCAAGCAGCTGCATGACACGGTCGACGAGGCCGTGGATGACTTCGAAGCCGTCCGTGTTGCCCGTGTAGAGACCGCAGAGGCGGCGCACGTTCTTAGCACCAACGTCAGTGGCGTCATCGAGGACGACGACGTCTGAGATCTCAAAGAGCTTGACGCCGTCCTTGAACGACATCGACTTGTTGTTCTGGACGGTCTTGAGCACACCGGGGATCATGGTCGTCCGCACCACCTACGCCATCGATGTTAGCACGCACTCGATACGCGCGCACTTGCGCACCTCGAATTCGATCGTCGACGGGTTGGCGAGCACGACCGCGGTCTTGCCGTCGTCCTTTTGGTTGAGGAACTTGAAGTTCTCGTCGTGCGAGCAGAGGCCGTGCGTGAGGAGCTCCATGTAGCCGGCGCGCGAGATTTCGTCGCGCAAGTGGTCGCCGAGCTTGTTGATGGGCTGCGGCTGGCCAATCGTGAGCGTCGGCGGGTGCGTCATCGGGATGTTGTCATAGCCGTACGCAATGCCCACGTCCTCCATGACGTCAACCGGGTGGAGGATGTCGGACCGCGTCGGCGGCACCTGCACCTTGATGCTGTGGCTCTCCTTGAGGTACGTGGCCTGGAGCTGCATCTTGACGCAGAGCTTGAGGATGCGCTCGACGTCCAAGTCGATCGGCTCCTTCGTGCCAAAGAGCATCGACTGGATGTCCTTGACCTTGGTGACGACCTATTACGAGATGTGCGGATGCTGTTGGAGCTACGGCGAGCACGCACCTCGCGGTTCGACATGTTGGGCGTTGTCTCCTTGTGGCCGTCGTTCTCGTAGACAATCTCGACGGGCTCGACCGTGAACGGCGCCGCGCAGTACTGCGAGAACATGGCGATCATCGTGTTCAAGACCACGTTGGCCTTGGTAATGTCCGTGGCCGTGCACTCGATAAAGACGTTCTTGGTCGAGAGCTTGATCTACACGAGCAGGCTCAGCACGTGCGAGCGGCAAGCGACGACGCACCTTGGAGTGCTCCGAGTTGATGATGGGCGGCAGCGACAGCAGCGTCTGGTTCTTGTCGTAGATCACCTAGTGGGCGCATGAGCTACCGTAGATGGTGCTGGCGCATACGGGGTACGTCGGGAAGTCGTAAATGATGTCCGTGTACGGCTTGAGGTGCTTGCAGTCGGCGCTCGTACGGTAGTGGTCGAGGAGCTCGCGCGCGCTAAACTCGCGCGTCTGCGACAACGGCACGAAGCGGATGTTCTCCGGCGCACGGCCCTATGCGTCATTTGAGCTACGTCATGGCAAGCACAAGCAACTTCGCACCTCGTACGTGAACGGGCCCGAGACCGTGTCAAGGTCGTGCGTGCCAATGGCGACGAGCGTCCGGCGACGGCAAATGTTTTGGTGCAGCTTGTCCTGCAAGTCGATGAAGCTGTCGTAGCGCTCCTGCGTGAACGTCACGTCGCGGAGGATGCACGAGACCACGAACGGGCGCATGGTCTCGAGGCCCATGTTCTTCTTGACCGTAATGACGTGCTTGGTCTTGGGCTCAATGACGCGGAAGACCGGCGGCTGCTCCTTCTGCATGAAGACACGCAGCGCGCGGGCAATGCCTTCGACGCACAGCAGATCGTAGCGGTTGGCCGGCACGTCGATCTTGTAGATGACCGTGTCGTCGGCGCCGGCCGCGGCCTTGGCGCCCTGCTCCTTCTCCTTCATAAGGCGCTCGCTCGTGATCTCATCGAGCTCGATGCCAAACTCGAAGCAGAGATGGTCGAACTCTTCGTCCGTGAAGCGCTGGCCAATCGCCGCAAAGAGCTCGTCGCGCTTGACGCCCACGGTCGGCATGCTGTCTCGCAAAAGTACTTGTGTGGACTTCCTCCATACAAACTATCCGGACAACATCCGGATCGCCCACGTTCTTGCGGTCCAGAACCTCGAAGTGGCGGAGTGCGATGGGCGGCAAAGACGCTCATGGGGCCAGCGTAGGATGACAGTCTGCAAGCAAGACCTGCATGTACAGTCGGCTAATGGCAGTATGTACCGCCGGCGAATGGGCATCAATCTTGCAAGCGTCGTCGATTCAGTGGTTGCATGCCCTGACCTGGCACGTGTCAAGATGGGCCATGGACACGGGCAGGACGCATGGCATCGAGTTTAGCGCTGGATCGCCATATTGCAGTATACTTGGTGAACTTGCTTGGGGGTGCGCGAGTGCAGAGTGGTTGTAGTCCGGCTGCAAGCGGGTGGCATGGCGGCAGTGGCCGGTTGCTTGCTGGTCGCATGCCACGAAGAAACCTGTTGGTAGCGTCCAAAAACGTCAGGCTGACCGCGGCTAGCGTCGCATGTCTGGCAAGGGAACATGGGAACTGCTTCTCGACGCTGCTGTAGCGGTGGCGGGCTTTGGCGATCGATGTGAAAGAACGTCCATGAGGAGCGATGAACAAGGGCAGCAGCAGATACCAGAGCAAGAAGAAAATGGATAGTGGTGTCATGTATTTCATTCAATGCATCGCGCAACGCAGCCGAGCTGCTTACAAGTAGAGACCTTCGGGGATGTTGGCCTTCTTCTTGTACAGAGCCTTTTCCTTGGCCTTGCGAAAGTCGGTTTGCGTCACGCGCATGCGGCGTTCGCGAAGCGCCAAGAGGCCGGCTTCCGTGCACACGGCCTTGATGTCAGCACCCGAGAGCTCGTCCTTGGACATGACAAACTCTTCGAGCTCGACGTCGTCCGAGAGACTCATACGGCTCGTGTGAATCGCAAAAATGCGGCGCTTCGTCTTGACATCCGGGAGCGGGAACTCAATCTAGAGACGAGAAGCTCAGTGTGGAAAACGCAGCAATAGGATATCGGGTACCTTGCGATCGATACGACCTGGTCGAATCAAAGCCGGATCCAGGCTCTCGATGGCGTTCGTCGCCATGATCACCTAGTCGACGCATGAGACAAGCCGACGAGGGTGCAAGAATGCGGTCTACCTTGACGTCGCCACGTTCATCGAAACCATCGAGCTGGTTGAGGAGCTCAAGCATCGTACGCTGAATTTCACGGGTACCGCCGCTGCTTGAGTCGTAGCGCTTGCTACCGACAGCGTCGATTTCGTCGATGAACACGATCGACGGCGCGTGGTCATCGGCGACGCGGAACATCTCCCGCACGAGCTTCGGGCCATCACCGAGGTACTTTTGGATGAGCTCCGAGCCCACGACACGCAAGAAGGTCGCTGACGTCTGGTTGGCGACGGCCTTGGCGAGAAGCGTCTTGCCCGTACCGGGCTCACCGTAGAGGATGACGCCTTTCGGCGGCTTGATGCCAATGCCCTCGTAAAGCTCGGGATGTGTGAGCGGTAGTTCGACGGCTTCCTTGATCTCTTGGATTTGCTGGTCGAGGCCACCAATGTCGGCGTATGACTCGAGCGGCGCCTTGTCGACCTTCATGACGCTGACCATCGGGTCCGTGTCGTTCGAGAGGATACCAACGACCGCCATGACCTTGTTGTGGAGCAGGACCGAGCAGCCCGCCTCGAGCATGTCTTGGTTGACGAACGACATGACGCTGACGTAGTACTCGGGGCCGACGCTCGAAGACACGATCGCGTGGTTGTCGTCAATCATCTCTTCGAGGGTCCCGACGCCCATGGGCGTGCCACGGAGGTCGTCGACCTTGGAACGCTCCTCCTCGTCTTTCTCTTGCTTGGGCTTCATGACCTCTTGGTTCTTGATGAACTCTTCTTCCATCAAGAGGAAGTCCTTGATGCGCTCGAGCTTGAGGAGGCGCAGCTTGCACTTGGCGGTCGGGAAGACCGCGGGGATCCGCGTCGCGACCGAGGGGCCCTTCTTCTTCTTGCGCTTGCGGGTCATGGCGCCCCCGCGGGGCTCGAACTTCTTGCGCTTGGGCGCTTCGTCCTTCTTCTCGGGCTTCTTGTTGCCCGGGAGCCCGCTCTGTCCCTGCCCCATATTTCTTGGATACAAACTTTGCACCAGGGGGATCAATCCGGTTGACACCCACCTTAACCGGATTCGCCCTCTCGCGCGTTCGGGATTCTTCTCCGGATAAGACACGCAGCGCTTGCCACGTGGGCATAAGATCTTGGATCGCGACTTCGGCAGCACCACGGTTTTCCGACGGCCAATGGCACATGACAGCACATGACAACCGCACGTAGTGTGCGCGATTGACCTTCGTACAACAGACGGAAGAGACGCATGCGGCTAGCACGGTTTGTCCAAGTAACCGCGCCATGGACGATTGCTGTCAAGGTGGCGCGTGCAACTGCACTTGCACCACAGCCTCGTTCAAAACCCTGTGCAGCCGGCTCTTCGTTGTCTTCTCCGGCTCCTCGCCCAACACGAGTGGCCGCGCCAGCACCTTGTCCCGCGGATCGCGCTCCTGCCTCAGCGTGCCTGGATCAAGTTCGACAACCGAGCGTACTAGTACTGAACAACAAAAAGTCGGACAATTTTTTATTTCGTGTAGATCTACGTGACTAGCGTTATAATCGACCCACTTCAACAATGACAATGCAGCAATCCCTCGAGACGCAGGTAAGTACGAGCTTGCCATCACAACTGGTGTGCAAAAAATTAACCGTGGCTTCCGCTACCGGTAGCAAGTTGGCCGCTGCGGCTGGCGGTACGTGTACTAGCACTCCTTTGATGCTAACTCTAAAACGGTACCGATGGGGCCGGCAAGGTATACGTCGAGAATGTGCTACAGCTGCACTGGCAGCGCACTTGGCGTGAGCTCCGGATACGAGCTTGCAATCGCAGCCATGATCTGGTTGTGAACAAACTCGTTGCCGAGAACGTTAAGATGCAGACCGTCGGACAGCACCTCCTTCTGTTTGCCCTGGAGCAGTGTCCAGAGATCGACGACGGGAAAGTGCAGGCGACCAGCTACCTCCATGCAAAGGCTCGCATATGCACCCGCCCGCGCATTCAGATGGGCTTGATGGGCAAACATGTCGTCGTCCGAGACGGCCGGCGTCAAGAAGAGAAACTTGGTTGCTGGAAATGCGTCGACAAAGCCCTGTACGATGCCCTCGAGATTTGCCTTGTACTCGCCGGGCGGGACATACTGGTCTGTGGCATTCGGTCGGGTGGCGTCGTTTGTACCGAGCTCGAGGATCACGAGGCTCGGCGGTCGGGCAGCCCACTCCTGTACCATCGCTGGGACAGTGGGCAAGTAGTTCCTACTCACGTTGCTTGACATCAGGATTGGACGACATTGCACATACCGCGTTGTCCAACCTCCCCGACCGCGGTTGATGACATCCGCGCGACGAATGTAGTCCTCGGCGAGCAGCGCTTGAAAGCCGTGGAGGCTCACGGTGGATGCTTGCTGCGTGATCGAGTCGCCAATCATGAGGAGCAAAGGCTTGGGCTTGGGCAGTGGTGCCATTGTAGCTTCCTCGACCTTCGAAGGCAGTGGCGTGGCGAGGCCGGCAGACACAGCTGCACCGGCTGCGGCACCGATTGCGGCGCCAGCGAGGACGAGGCAGGCTACAAACGTTGGGCAATAGAGGTGAATGGAGGGGGTCAAGACGCTACATACCTGCAATGAGGCAGCGACGCCAGCCAAGCCGCTGTGCTGGCAAGAGTGAAGCTTCCTTGTCCTTGCGGCGCAGCTCCAGCTCCGCCATACCTGCGGAAACGTGTGTATGAATCCTGCTCAGCTGGTCACGTCGTGTCTTGAAGGCGTCTATACCACACATTTTTCACGTGAGAAAATATGCTATTGGCGTGGGTAATTACCACAAAGGCAAACTTGTTCGTCAACGTGGCATTCCCGTTCGACGTGGAACATTGTATGCCGTCTCCAAGGCCCCAGCGCACGCTCATCATTGGCCATGGCTCTTCAACTACCTCGGAACGGTGCTGAAAGCGTTCTCTTCCGTGGAATGCGTCTAGTCGTGTGAGTATAACGTGTTTTACACGTGTGATATCGCCCGTCGGCAGGCAGCGACAACCATGCATTTCGCCTCCCCAATCTTCACAATCAACAACATCAACGACGCTGGCGACGCCGAGATTCACTATTGCTGGAGAAGGATGGTCGCTATTGTACCGACATTTGCCACTGTTTGTAAGAATGTTGTTTCGGCTGCAGACTGCAACTTGCAGTCTACAGAGGAAGCTCTCAGTTGCAGTCTGCAACCAAGAGCTTACCCGTTCAAGCTCGTCCTGACTTGTACAATCATTGTATAAATGCTCCACACTTTAGTGCCTACTACCTTGTGCTTGTAGTACCTTAAACCGCCAGATTGGTTTGACATCGTTGCCAACTGGATCGTGCAGGTTACCATGTCGCCGAATCCTCGTTTCGTGCTGCCACGTCATGCTTTCAGTTGTACAAGCCATGCGATCGTGCTCCTCAACACAACGACCACATCGTGATCCAAATTATGTACACTGTTCAAAGCAAGACACTATTACTTCCTACGCTATCACATACGACGACACTACTACTGGACGCGGTCCAAGAGCGACTTGAAGAAGGGCGGCGTGACTTCAAAGAGGTTGCGGAGGATGGTGTCGGGCGTGTTGGCCGTGATCGACGTGTCTGTGTGCTCATCCAGCGTCACCTTCATGCACCAGAGCACTTCGGCGGCGCGGCGACCGTCGTCCATGCACTCGCGCAACACAATGCCGAGGTTTTGGTTGCGACGAATGTACGCCGGCGTCTGCGGCCAGCTCGGGTCGTCATTGACCGAGCGCGCGGCCATGTACACGGCGTTGGCGACGACGCGGCGCTTGACTGCATGGAGACGCTCCGTCTTGATCTTGCCCGTGCCGTGGGCGTCGGCGTTCGGGAGCGCGAGGTTGAGGAGCGCGCGCACGTACTTGGTGTCGTTGTCGATCGCGTCGAGCACTTCATACGACTCCATAAACGGAAACTCTTCGTTGAACGTCTTGGACGTGAGGAGGTCCCAGACGCGCGAGCTTGCGTCCATGTAGTTGACGTTCGGCAGCACGTGGCGGAGGAAGATCTGGATGCTGTCCTTCGCCATCTCGTACTGGACCGTCACGCCGAGGTAGCTCATGTTGGCAACCTTGGGCTGCTTGAAGAGCTGTTCGCCGTGCTGCACCGACGACATGGCGGCCTGGATTGCGTCGTCGGCCACCTTCATAAGCGAGTCGCGGAACGAGACGGTCGGGAGCTGGAAAAATGACGATGGCATGGACGGCGGCGGCATGAGCGCGGGCGACGGCGCCGGTGCGCTCGACGACGGCGCGGTCGTGAGCATCTTGTTGAGCGACGGCGCGTTGAGGAGCGGCTGCTTGGTAAAGTAGTCTTGGAGCCGCTGGATAAACTTCATTTGCTCCATGAGCGTTTTGCGCAGAAACTCGTTTTCTTGGTCGACACGCGCGCGGATCTCGGCGTGTTGCTCGGCTTCCTGCTTCCAGCCCGTCTCCGTGTCGTGCTCGGATGGCTCCGAGCTCTGGAGCACTTCGATCTGCTCCTTCAAGTCCTTGACCTTCTCGCGCAGTGCGACGAGCTCGTCCTTTTGGCGTTGGCGGTGCTTGCGCGCGGCCTTGGCGATTTGCTCACGGCGACGCGCCTTGCGGCTCTCTTCGTTATCGGCAGCACCACCGCCGCCACCCGTAGCCGACGACGGGCTATCGGGTACATCCGGGTTGGACTGCGTATCGCTCGGCGGCGCCTTGCGCTTGCGCGACGCAGCAGCCGATGGCTTCTTGGCCTTCGAGGTGGTGGACGACGCGGCCGCGCTGGGCTGGCTGGACGTGGTCGACATCGGCGTTAAGGCAGTTGCCATCGGAGGTGGTTGCATCGGAGGCAAGCCGTAGCCGCCGGGGCCCTGCATGTACGATCCGTCAAAGCCCATGCCAAGGTCGGGCATCATGGGCATGCCCATGGGCATGCCTTGCATGTTGTGGGGCATGCGGCTGTGGTTCATGTTCGGGTGGCCTTGATTGCCGTTGTTGGGGTAGTTGTTGTACGGGTCCATCGTCGAGAGTTCTACACGGAGCGTCAGCGATGCATGCACCACGAGGTCTAGGATACCGTTTTGCCGCCGAGGTCCGTCGCGCTCGCTGCCTGCGCCCGAGCCAAGCAAATGATTAGTAAGCACGATTACGAAATCAGCCCCCGGCCACGTGCCCCCTCACTTCCTACAAACGCCAAGTCACTTTGAAACCCTAGCCCTACTGCCATCACGCGCGTTCCTGATTGGTCGAATTTGCCAGTCAAAAGAATTCGAGCAGTAGCCGCTGTATTATAATGAATATATCTGCTCTAAGTATACTAAATACAAGTCATACAATAAACCAGGCAGGTAAGATCAGCTGCATTCAAGAAACGCCGTTGGTTGGTCACGCGGTCTGGTAAGGTGCGTGAGGGCCGTAACGGTTTATGACTTGTAGTTTGTATACGTGAAACGGTTTCAGCGCCAACGTGTTTTTCACACAACTGAATGTCTGAGTTGCTACAAAGCGCAAGAGACTTGATAGTGTGAAACACCGCGACGCGTCGTGTGTGCGAAACGAGGTGAGAAATGAAAAAATGGCGCGAATGCAAACACAACACTCAAACCAACATTACGGCGCCACCTTAACTCTTGGACGTCGTCGCTTTGAACCGCGCGCAAAGACGCTGCAGAGTACGAACGCTGCTCTTTGCTCTGCGTGATCGATAACCGGACGAGCTCCGTGCAGGGATACGAGCAACTACGCAGCAACCAAATGGATGCAGCTTGGTTTTGCGCGTTGAAAAGCGTCGCAATGTTGATTCACGACCATCACAGGCGTCATCAACGCTTGGGACGCAGGCGCAGGTCGGACATGCTGGGCGAAACTGAATTCTATCACCAGATGACACCAACGACAACAGGGTACAACGTCCACGGGAGGTCTGCTACCGCCGTTGGAGTCAGCGGGGTGTAGCGAGTCATGTAGTGGTCGTAGAATCGATGCTTCAAGTACACGCTACGGAGCGGGTTGTTGGTGTAGCTGTGAATGTCATGCATGTTTCTGCACACGGTGTGACGCCTGCCGAGCACGAAGGAGGTTTTCATTCGAATTCCGCGCGTCCGACGCCCCTGTACCGGCGTTGCAAGCAGACAGGTAATTTAAGCTCGCAAGCTCCAACGCCGCTTCGATACCAGTCCCAGCGCGTCCAGCTACGTCGTTGGGTAGATCGATGTGAGCTTCGCGCCAAGAACGAGCACGTTGATGCGACCAAGAGCAGCGAGATCGTCGAGGTACGACGAGGCCACACCCGGACGCATGCAACGTATCGTTCTATATTCAAACTCCAGACTTCGACGGTCGCAACCAGATTCGATCCGACCATACCAACATGAGCGGCATGAAGCAGCCGCTGCGCCCGGTGGGTGCCGACGATAGCGGGCTTGACTGCAACACTGATGGCAACGACGGCCTCGCGCCATTCCTTGATCAACAACGTAGGTACACGGAGCGGGTGAACGAAGACGTCCTTGAGCATGCCAGGATCCAACCAGGCGCGCACACACAAGCCGAGCTTAACATGAGCAAGCACTGCCAGTTTACGGCTCGTACTGGTACCCGATCCGATGCTACTGCACTAGCACAGACTCGTCCTGGACTGCGGCGAATGTACTGCGGCGGGACTCGTGAAGTGCGTGCTTTGCTGCAACCAACCATTGCGTCACGGACCGTCGAGATGTCACGTCGACAGCGGGGGCTCGGTGGTTTACGTTTCCTGGATGCTCGTCCGCCAACAAGATTGGCTGCACAAATACGCAGACATCGCTACCACGACGACAGGCCAGCCACTACGATGTAGTCATACGACGCTGCATGGCCAAGCACCTTGCTGCTCGAGACATCGTGCACGATTTCAAATCCTTCCACACAGCCCCTGCTTGAAGAAGAAAGCAACCTTGCGGCAAAACGATCGCAATGCACCGATGACACGACAGCGCTGGCATGTCACTTCAAGGTCGAAAACTGACGCCTTTCCCCGCTTGTTTTAAACAGCGTCGCGACACCACGGGCGTTTTGAGTCCATGGAGCCAATGCTCGGGCAACTTGAGTCCGCTCGACTTCCTACTAAGCACCCCGCCGCCTGCATCCTAGTTAGTACATGGTCCATGCTATGACGTCGGTGTCATTGCGGGTGGCGGCCAACGCGAGTGTGTGGTCGCCTGGATGTTGACTCGACAAACGTCACCCTCGAAATCTTTCGACTTGGAGCGATCTTTGCCTCATAAAATGCAAATGTTTAATGTTCTCTTGCATTTTGTATATACGTAGTCAAAGTCGCATATCGGGCCACCCAAGACGTTGAGCTTGAAGTTCCGGGCCAGAACGCAAACAGCGACCGAGAGATGACCACAGAGACGACGTACGGCCACCAGGACGCGCTGCCGCCACTGCCGCTGCCCGCCCTCGAGCAGACCCTCGAGGCCTACGTCAAGAGCTGCGAGCCGCTGCTCACGCCCGCCGAGCTCGAGCACACGAAGGCCGTGTGCCACGACTTCCTCCATGGCGTCGGCCCGAGCCTCCATGCGCTCCTGGAAGAGCGCGCGGCCTCGGAGAAGAATTGGCTCGAAGAGTGGTGGGAGACGTTTGCCTACATGCAGCCGCGGTACCCGTCCGCGATCAACATCAACTGGTACGGTGTGCTGCCCGGCAACTGGGGCCCGCGCGATATGAGCCAGTGCGAGTCGGCCGCGATCTTCACGGTCGCACTCATGAAGTACCGCAAGGACATCCTCGCGTAAGTATTTTAACGATGCTATACGCGGAGGCTCATGCTCGCTTAGGGAGAAGATTCCGGCCGAAAAAATGATGGGCAAGAAGTTGTGCATGCACCAGTACACGCGCCTCTTCAACTCGTGCGTGATTCCCGACGAAGACTGCGACGAGATCCGCGTGTACGACCACACGCAGAAGCACATTGTGGTCCTCCGCAACAACTGCATCTGGGCCATGGACGTCATGGACGACAAGGGCGATACGCTGCCGCTGGCCGAGCTCGTCAAGTACGTACACGCTCTCTTGCATGCAAGTCCGCTGAACCCTATTGCTTTGTAGCCAATTCGAAGCCATTCGCGCCGAAGCCACGGGTCTCTTTGACCTCGAGCGCTACCCGCCGGTGAGCGTGTTGACGTCCGAGAACCGCACCAACTGGGCCAAGGTATGGACGCGACGTCGTCCACGAAGAGGAGTTTTCATCGCCTCGACTAGGCTCGCACCTACTTGGTGGAGCTCGATCCGTGCAACCAAGCGTCGTTTGAGATCATCGAGAAGGCCATCTTGGTCATTGCGCTCGATGAATCGTCGCCGGCCACGAGCGAAGACGTACGCATCCAACTACTCGTGTGTCATTGCGCTAATATGGTGTAGATTGCGCGCAACTGCCTCCTCGGCGACGGCCGCAACCGCTGGTACGACAAGCCCGTGAACCTCGTCGTGCACGAGAACGGCCGCACGGGCATCAACGGGCAGCACGCGTGGGCGGACGCGCTCGTCGTCGTCCGTGTGTTTGACTACTGCATCAAGTATGTCAACGAAAACTTCAAGACCAAGTTCCTCGAGCACTCCAAGATTGCACCGCCGACGCACAAGCCGCGCCGCTTGCACTGGAAGATCGACAACAATGCGATGACGGCGATCGAATGCGCGTCCGCGGCCGTGAGCAAGCTCATCCAGGTACATTGGCTCGACTCTCACACAATGTCATTTGGTCCGCTGTAGGCAAGCGACATCTCGACGATGCTCTTCCAGCACTATGGCCACGCCTTTCTGAAGCGCTACAAGCTCTCACCCGACTTTTTCGTGCAGCAAGCGATCCAGCTTGCCTACTACAAGACGTTCAAGTTCCTTCCGGCCGTGTACGAGACGGCGCACACGCGCCTCTTCTACCACGGACGCACCGAGACGGTCCGGTCGCTCACGAACGAGTCGCTCGCGTTTTGCAAGACCATGTGCACGTCCACTGACGTACGCTGCGAGTTGCGACGTGTCGAGAGACTCATGTCGTGCATGTAGAACTCTGAAAAGTGGGACGCCCTCCAGACCGCGATCCAGCGCCACGGCGAAGTCATCAAGAACAGTCTGCTCGGACAAGGTAGAGAGACTTGCTGTGTCCGAAGGATGGGACTGAAGCATGCGAGCAGGTGTGGACCGCCATTTGATGGGCCTTCAAATCGTGTCGGAGATGTCGGGCATCACGCCGCGCCCGTCGCTCTTTTCCGACAAGGCATACGAGCTCTCGAAGCGGTACCGCATCTCGACGTCCAACATCAGCGGCGGCGCGGGCGCGAGTCCGATCTGGGGCGGCTTCTCGGCCATGTACGACGACGGCTATGGCATCTGCTACGCGCTCCAGCCCGACCGCATCAACTTTAGCATCACGTGCTACAACAACGAGGCAACGACGTCGGCGGCTGCGTTCAAGCGCGCGCTCGAGGCCGCGCTCCTCGAAATGGTCGAGCTCTGTCTCTCGCGCAACGTCATTTACGTCGGCAAGTCCAACTTGTAGATACACTTAGACGCCCAAGCTCGCTTGCAGGGCATAGTAATGGATGCTATACGTTGCGTTTGTGATGGTCAAGAAGACGTCGTCGAGGCCCGGCGTCATGGCGGCGAGGCGGCAGCGCAGCGCCGAGAGTCTAGGACCTGTGGTTTAGTGGCATATATGCAGACAACGCAACGTACTGCTCGAGGTCCACGAGCGCATTGTCGTCGTGGCAGATGACTGCGATGCGGACTGGATCGTCCATGACAGCGTTGCGGTTGCGCTTGCCGTCGTGCATGGCTTGGATCGGGATGTCGCCGAGCACAATGTACGCCGGCGCCTCGGACGCGGACTTATCGACGACGAGGCGCCAGTGACGCAGGGGCTTGCGCTGGACGAGGTCATGCCATATCTACGCCGGCACCATGAGCCGCATGGAAGTTGATGGGGGTGCTTCTACGTCGTAGACGTAGATGGGCGTCGTCGGTAGCAGCACCATCCACTCGCTGCGGGACGAGCAGGACCACGCGGTCTCCTCCGCGGCAAGTGTTTCCATCCTGCAAGTGGAAACGGCGTGCGTTTAGCCTCGTATCCGGTCATTCGGATAATTTTTGCCTCCACGATGGACACGCTCCTCGAGCAGATCCGCGCCGGCCACGGCTCCATGGTCGAGATGGAGAAGGAAGGGCTCAAGCATGTCTTCATGGAGGTCCTCGAGATGCTACGGGCGGAGGATACTGCCAACGTCGTCGAGCTCGGACGATGGATCGATGCTCTCGGCCAAGGTACATGGTTGATCATGCTGATGAGGGCGAACGCTCATGACGACGCGTAGTGCTGGAAGGTCTGCCACCGACGAAGCGAGGGATCTACCTCGGCGATGCGATTGCCATGCTCATGCGCAAGTCGTCGGGGCACATCGCGCTCGACCCGTTGGTCGTCGGGTTCCTTGCTCGCATCGCGACTACCCTAGCGTCTTCCCCGGACGCATCTATCAAGGTCCAGGATCACAAGAAGGTCATCTACGCTCTCTTGAGCATCCTTGCACGCGCGCCAAAGCATTACCTCGACAACGGCCCGTCATCACCCATCGAGAACCTCGTGAAAGCATGCGTCGAAGTCATTCCTCTGGTGCATCTCTTCGCCATGCAGCCATGGCGGCAGTACGTGATGATGTGGCGAGCACTCGTGGCGCCTGGTGCGGATGCTCCATCGGACGACGAAGAAGACTCGGAAGACGATGGCGACGACGACGCGGCCGAGATCCGCAGAGTGTTTGAAGCCCGCTTGTGGGCCGCGATCCCCGACGCATTCCACATCAAGTACTTGGGTCCAGACCTGATTGGCGCAGATATGGGCGTCGCCGTGCTGGCGGCCTGGACGTGCCTCGGAGAACACGCGCCCTGGGCAAGTCTGTGCTCGTCCCTCACCAAGGCGGCCTTGGACACGATCTCGCCGTATGCTCAAGTGCTCATGCAGCACGACGATCCAAGCGTACTTTATGCATGTAGGGTTCTTGGTTGACCGGGTATCGAGTAGGTCAAAGTCATTGGCGTACACATGGTGGCTGCCACGCTGTCGTCGAAAGCCGCCATGTCGGAAGCCATTGCGCCGGACCAGTTCCAGACGTCGACAGACAAGATCGTCGGCCTCGACGCCTACGCCGAGCGTACGCAACGATGGGTAGCAGCGCGGTCGTGTGATTATTGGAGCTGTAGATGAACAGCGACGCCACCACTACCAGGCACTGCTCCAAGCCTTGTTGACGACAATGGTCATGGTGCCCGACGCCAAGGATCGGCAACGGACGCTGCAAACGTGGCAGCAAGTCATTGAGACGATCACGGTCTCGTCACGGTCGCGTGCATGTCTTGTATCTTGTATTTTCTGACAAAAACTAGGTTTCTGGTCCTCCGTTCGCTCATTGAGCACTGTCCGTTTCCAAACGCCACTGCCGTCATCGTCGACCGCGTCCGGGCCGAAGTCGCCCGCCATTGGCTGCGTACACCCAAGATTGAGAGAGCATGACTTACATGGCGAGCGTAGATTACGTCGAGGAGACGCTGCCGTCCCTCGTCGCGTTGTTGACGCGGCTGCTTGCGCCGCTGCCCGATGCCGAGTTTGTCCAGCGGAGCGATGTGTATACGAGCGCCCTCAGTCTCTATCGTTTTGTACTGCTTCGTGACAAGGTATGTGGGTCACGGCTGTTTTTTCCAGTCGCATGCTGTCGTCTTGCGCTAGGTGGACAACGTTTCTGGCTTGCACTCGAACACGGCTCTGGCGACGCACGTCAAGGGCCAGCGGCGACGTCTCACGGACCTCATTGAAGCGCAATTGCTGCTTGGTCCAGCACCGCATGCGCATGGGCATCTTTGCGGCGCGTCACACGAGGACGCCACGTCGCCGTTTGTGACGATGGAGATGGCCGGCGCGTTGCCAACCGAGGCGTCGGGTCCCGCGCGTTACGACCTCTTTCGGCTCCAGCTCATGGAAGGCGCCTTTGAGGCCGCGCTCGACGCACTCGCTACCCGACCTTGAGATCGCTCGCCCACAGGACATCGTCGTCCAAGACGTTGGTAATGCCATCCATGTCACTTGGATCCATCGCTTGTAGCATGCGCTTGCCTCGCGACACGAGCGGCGACGCGAGAGGCTCCAGTATGGACTTGGCGCGCGACGGGGGCGAGAGTGCGTCAACGCTGGCGCTGCTCATGGGGCGCGTCAGCGGCACGAGGTCGGGTGTACTGCGGCGCTGCGGCGTCGGACTCTACCCACCCATGGTTCTCATTCGAGGTGATGGAGATGATGGAGGTGTACGGCAAACACAAGCCGCCCGACGAGAATGCGCACTTGCTCGTCGAGGCCGAGTGGCAGTTGGAACGTGTTGAGCTGGCGGTGGACCTACGTGTACAAGTACGTGAAGTGCCTGTCGTCGGCGAAGGTGTATCTGTGTACAATATCGCGCACAGTATGGCACCCTGCGTCCCGAAACACGTTGCTGTAGTCGCGGGCGACCGCCGACGCGCGCTCACAGCGCTTCTTGAGCAGTCGCTGGGTGCTGTGGACGTCCATTTTGGGCGCCACGAGCATGTGCACGAACGCATCCAAGTGATGGCTGCCGTACGTCGCGAGGTCGTCGGCGTGGACCGGCAGCGTCACAAACACGGCTTGAAAGAGGAGTTCGTAGATCGAGTGCGACATGGCGACGGGCGAGAGCACTTGCGCTTCCAGACGCGCCTTCATGTCGGCAAAGAGCCCGACCTCGTCTTCGAGGCGCGCCCGAGATACGATCGCCGGCGTGTCAGCCCGCGGCGAGAAGCCGCCTTCAAAGACCTCCGTGTCCTGGGTTGTCGGTCGCTTTGTTTCGGTGCGGAGCCGATGCACCAACGTCGTCGGTCGTCCATTGCGCGCCATCTCGACGAGCGTCTGCAAGAGCCAAAAGATAGTTTCTGCCAGCGCTACTGGGATCGCCCAGTCGACCAGATGCGCCACGTCGTAGGGTGCCAAATCGCAGGCGTGAACGAGCCCGTGGGCTTTCAAAGTCGCAAATGTCCCGTCCAGAGCACTGGTGACGAGCTGCTCGCGTCGCACCTACGTCATTCAACTATGGCATCTAACCCATGATGATGAACTCATGGACCTTGAGAAGTCCCGGGGGCATGCGCAAGTACGCGCTCAGGTGCGCATTGGCCTCGCGCGATGCAGTCCACGGGTCGTGCTGGGACGCAATGTTGCCTCTCGCGTCGATCGTCGGCGGCACAAAGAGGAGAAGACCGGCGACAAAGAGAAATTTCGCGATCGGCTCCTTGATGCCGCTTGGCAGTGCGTGCAAAATGTACGTTTGGATCTCGGTCTTTGTGGCGAACGGAGAGGCAGTCTCCGTCGGCGTTGATGACACCGTCGGCGATGGCGGAATGCGCTTGGACGACCACATGGTGAGCACAGGGCGGTCTTTCACCGGCTCGGCCGCGCGCACGACGCGCTCGGACCGGAACGAGTTGCGCATGAGCGGTGTTCGTCGCCGAAGTTCGCGAAGAAGCAGTTTGATGCTTCGAATCGACCGTCCTTGCGCCTCGAGACCGCGCCTATCGAGTCGCAGTCGCATCAGCATCATGCATTCCTTCCCATTGCACGTACAAGCCCGCAATCACTTCGGGTAGCGAGTAGCCTTCGGCCATCGCAAGCCGAAGGAGCTTGGGCGAGTATTTGTCTGGGAGATCGATGGACTCGGGCGCGAGACGACCCAAAGCGACTTCATCGGGCGAGGCTTCCGGCGAAAAGATACCTGCGGGCGCCACCGGCTTTGGTGGCGAACTTTGGCGCTCGGGCGATGGCGACCGACTGAGCGAGCCGAACGTGGACGCCGATGTCCGTTGCGGTGACGACGGGTGGCTGGGTCGTTCGGGCGACGGTGACTTGCTTGTCGTGTAGGCTGACGCCGTGCGCTCGATGCGCTGCAGCACCGGCGACTCGAGGGCTCTCGAGACGTGCCACGCCTACGCCCATCACATGCGTTTGCCTCTTCCTTTGAGCTTTGAGCTTTGGGCCGTACTTGAATGGCTTGTTCTTCCAGCAGGTGCTTTTCGCGGAGAAACTTTTGCACAAACGTCGACGCGTTCTCTTCTTCGTCTTGCTTTTCGTGCAGGAAGCGCCGATAGTCATTGTCGACCGCGCGAAGAAACGCCCAGAGATCCCCGGTCGCCATGTACTGCATCGCGAGTGCACGCACGGGCTCGCACAGCGACGCCTCGATACGCAGCCGCCGCAGCACTCGCCGACCATCGTAGCCGCGGTAGTACCGCTGGATCGTCGTCGCACTTGCCTACGCGCCCATGTCACGCTAGAGTGCATGAAATGAGCGTGTACGTGGCGATGGCGGTGGTCGAACTCGGCGTACACGGTCCGACGACGCTGTGCGACAAACGCTTTGGCTGTCAGTGATCGCCACCAGCACTGCAATCGAAGGGCCGCGGTGGCGACGCGTGCCGCTTGCACGTCGGCAAGTGCCTGCGCGTACTGCTGTCGCGCCAAGTAGCCGCGGGCGATGCGCTGGAGATGCAGAATCGCGACGCCGCGATGGTGTGCCCACCACGCGCTTCGAACGCGATGGACGCGCGCCACCGCCTGGCGGCGCCGCACGAGGAGCTGAAGACAGACGGCCGCGGCCATTTCGGCGCAGCCCCAAAACGTGGTCATGTCATAGACATGGGTGCGACGCGAGAGCCGCCCGCGGACTATGCACTGAATGCGCGTCGATGCGTACGTCTGCACAAACGCTTTGCACGTCTACGCATAATGGCCTGTCGTCTTGGCGTGGCATCATCATGCAAAGATGTACCGCGAGGTTGAGGCGCGTCTTGGCGATCGTCGCCGACGCGACCTCCAAGAGGCGCTTGAGGTGCGGCTCGAGCGTGTGGATCGAGATGGGCGCTGCCAACGGAGGCACGGGCGGCTTTTGTAGGCTCGCGAGGTTGAGGTCCGCGTACCGCGACGGCATGTGCGACGCGACTTGCATCCCATCGCGCTTTTGCTTGGCCGTCATCGACGTATTGCTCGAGCTACTCGCCTCAAATGAGCGCGTGCGGTAATAGCTGTAGGGTACATGGCGACAACCGTGTCTTTGCGCGTCAGGAGCTCGGTCGTGTCGACGACGATGAGCCGCTTGTGCGTCGAGGCGAGGTCGATGATGGCCGTCATGTCGGCGATCGCGTCGAGAAGCGAGAGGCGATACATGCGCAGGAGGCGATAGAGCCGCGTGCCCGGCACGTTTCTATATGAGTTGGCGTGATCTGGGAGGTATGGATATAGATGTCATACTCGTATTCCTTCTTGAGGCGCATGACGACGCCCGGCGCGAGCTCCATCTCGTCGTACTCCTCGCTGAGCTCGACTTTCGCTTCGCGCGCCAGGAGCAGGCGCATCCCGCAGCTACACGGGCGCCCGATCTGACACCCGCAGTGCTGCATGCCACCGCCATCCCGGTCCTCGGCCATGGCACCCAAACCTAAATATAGAGCTCTGCGTTTGTGACTATCTTGATGTTCGACTAACTAGCGCGACCAACTGGGACGAGGTTCTCTGGACGACACGTCGAGGCGATGGTTGATACTAGTATGCAGAACATGGCGGCAGTCATGGCGACGGATATCGACAAGCGATGAACGAGTGGTGACGCTTCTCATGCGCCCCCGGTCGCGTTGTTGAAGTTTCTTTGGCATCTCAGTGCAGCTGGTCGATCGAATCTGACCATAACTCTGGCAGTGCTTCTCGGTGCAGTTTGCAGTTTTCGAATCTGGCGCGATGAGCTCGACCAACTTGGGCCTTGGCATTGGCATGTGCCTCGTCGGGACCACCGTCTCCAACCTCGTACGATGAGATTGCAGCCATTGCATGTCCCTCTCATCTCTCTACGCTACATGTAGGGGCTAAACATTCAAAAATATTCGTTTTTGCACCAGGAGCGCCTTCCCGAGACGCAGCGGCGACCGTACAACACGCAGTGGCGCTGGTGGCTCGGCTTTGCGTGCGTCGGGCTCGGGTCCATCGCTGACTTTGCCGCGCTAACGTTTGCAGCGCAGGTACATACCTACACTTGTACGGTTATGACGTGAGCAGTTGAGATCTGAGTGTTGGTGCTCACGCCGTAGAGCGTGATCACGCCCATTGGAGCCTTTACGCTCGTGGCCAACCTCGGCTTTGCGCACTACTGGCTCAAGGAGCCGCTCGGCAGCACCGATCTCGCCGGGACAGGGCTCATCGTACTCGGTGCGACGGCGGTCACCATTTTTGGGTCGCACGAGAGCCCCAAATATTCGCTCGATGAGCTTATTGCGCTCTCCACGCGCGGAAGCATGGTCGTGTACGCCATTGCGATCCTCGGCCTCGTCGCCTTTTTGTATTTGCGGTGCACCGACTTGACACGGCTCTGATATATTGATATTCTGTAGCCACGTGGTGCGAATGCGCAGCGAGCAAGTGCTGCGCAAGTGCGGGAAGGCGTCGCCCGAGTATCGCGCGCTCGAGAAGCTCCACCCGCTCTCGTACGCTGGCTTTGCAGGTACTTTTGCCACCTCGACTTGCGTTCGCATGTGGCATTAGGCATTGTCGGCGCGCAGTCGGTCATGTTTGCGAAAAGCTCGGGCGAGCTCATTCAGCTCTCGCTCCAAGGCCGCAACCAGTTCAATCGCGTCCTCACGTATGTGATCCTCGCGGGCTTGGTCCTTACGATTAGCGTTCAGGTACGTTGCTCGTACGTGCTGTCTTCTGCGCTGAGATTCTTGTAGACGCACATGTTGGCACTGGGGCTCAAGAACTTTGACGCGCTCTACATGGTGCCCGTCTTCACCGTACGTTGTACCGCCTTGCTCGACGACAAAGGTACAGTGTACTAACAACGAGCATGTTGTGGGGTAGTGCTTTTTCATTTCGTTCTCGGTCCTCGGTGGCGCCGTGTACTTTAACGAATTCCAAGCCTTTACACTCTACCAGTGGATCTGCTTCCCGCTCGGCGTCGCCATCACCGTCGTCGGCGTCATTCTCCTCTCGCGACGTGAGATGCGACTGAGCGAGGTATGTACACTTGGCGCCAATATGATATACTCTCGAGGCGATTTCATCCAAACGGCACGTAGACGACACTGGATGGCATGGCGTCGCCGGGCACCGAGAGCCAAGAGTTTGCACTCGCCACGACACCGAGAGCTTACGTCGCCATCGCGGTGCCACCTTGCTCTGTCCCTCTCTCGACAGGCTCTCCGTACTAGGAGCAGTTGAAACGCGTGTCGACGCCTAGATACTCGTCAACAGATCGCGATCTTGACTTGAGTCGCCGTTTCGATTTCGCTCGGTTTGTGCGATATGTCTTGTCGTCGCAGGCTTGCGATGATGATGCTGTTCATGGCATGTCGCGCGATCCACCATCCTTGAACCTCGGTCCCGTACAAAACAAAAGTGCAATGTCACGGATCGCCATTCCGCGCAAGATGATGATGCAGTCGGACAAAGCATGTACCAGCCACCGCGCAAGCCATCATCAACACGGCCACCAACCTCATGATACTAGAGCCTCTCGACGTCGTCTTCCTGATGACGCATCGTCGCGCGTGGAGTGATCAACCGCCATGCATTACGCGCTGTTACGGCGGGTGCGAATTTAGTGCACTGGACGCTATACATAGTGCAAGAGATGAGACCTTGGCGCAGAGGCAAGGAACACTCTAGCAATTATAGCTCAATTTAAAATAATACGGTGGTGGCCGGCTCGGAATTTTAAAAAATCGATAAAAATGCACCTCGTGCAATAAGAGAGGCGGTACCGCGCGATTTGATTGGCTCATCCGAGTATGATGGCGAAAGCATATTAAAATATCGAGTGGGATGCCAATCCCACGGTCCTGTTTTTAGAATAGCTTGTCTATTGTATGCATTTTAAAAAGATAGTTTTTAAATAGAGCGAGGAATTAAATAGAGGTCCGGCTTCGGTTGGGCTTCCAGTGGGCTTATTGCGACAGAATAAAAAACTGCATCTTGGCTGCGCAGGTACCCGCGACCGACGACGACGCCGACGCTCACCACGACGCTGCTAGATGCCCGACCATGAGACCAACACGTCCAACCTCTTCATTGGCATTGGCATCTGCTTGATCGGGTCGACGATCTCGAACCTCGTGCGTTCCGATCGGCGAGAGCGAGCGCGTTCCTGACTCTCTTCCGCGACTGTGTAGGGGCTCAACATCCAGAAGTACTCGTTCATCATGCAGGCCCACCTGCCCGACCACGAGCGCAAGCCGTACAACACGCAGTGGCGGTGGTGGCTCGGCTTCTTTGGCGTCGGTGTCGGGTCCATCGCAGACTTTGCCGCGCTCACGTTTGCGGCGCAGGTAGCGACGACCGCCCATGCGCCGCTCACAGACGCGTATATGTAGAGTATCATCATGCCAGTCGGCGCCTTTACGCTTGTCTGCAACATCGTCTTTGCGCATTTCTGGCTCAAGGAAAAGCTGACGCGCAACGACCTCTGGGGCACGGTGTGGATCGTCGTTGGCGCCGTCATGGTCACCATCTTTGGCTCACACGAGAACACCAACTACACGCTGCACGAGCTCCTGCGCTTGTACTACCGCTGGGACATGCTCATCTACCTCGTCTTCATCATTGGCGTGCTCTTCTTCCTCTACTCGATGCTCATGAACGCCGAGCGCATTCTGAAAAAGAAGGGCGCTCTCTCGACCGAGTACAAGTCTGTGCTCAAGACGCACCCGCTCGCGTACGCCGGCCTCGCTGGTACAACAATCTGGTCTCGAACGACCATATTTGATGCCACGTGGCTCGTAGGTGTCTTTGGCGCGCAGTCGGTCATGTTTGCCAAGTCGACCGGTGAGCTCATCAAGCAGTCGGCGTCCGGTGACAACCAGTTCAACAAGGGTCTGACCTACGTCATTCTCGTCGGCCTCGTCTTGACCATCTCGATGCAGGTACGCGTCAACCTCCAGGTTGACATGTCGAACTGTGAACGTAGACGCACTTGCTTTCGCTGGGCCTCAAGTACTTTGACGCGCTTTACATTGTGCCGGTGTTCCAATGCTTCTTCATCACGTTCTCGGTGCTCGGCGGCGCGATTTACTTTCAAGAGTTCAAGGACTACACGGTCACGCAGTACATTTGCTTCCCGCTCGGCGTCTTCATCACGATCTACGGCGTGTGGGTCCTATCGTCGCGCGAGATGCAGCACGACGTACGATTTCATATGAGAGCCCGTCGATTTGTATTGATCGTACACTAGGCGGGTGCACCGCCCGTGCCACCGGCGCCGCCGTCGTCGGCCGACAGCATCTGCCACGCCGAGCTCCAGCCCAACATGCCTGGCTCCAACATGGTGCGCCGCAACTCGAGCAGCTTCCGTGTTGTGATGGAGCCCGAGTTTTGCCCCGTGTCCAACCCCGCGCAGCTCCTCGAGCGCTCGTCGTCGATTGGCGGCTCCTTTTACGCCACACAGAGCGTACTGGTGCGAAGACCGATGTCCTGTCGACGACAGACTCACATTTACACGCTGCTTGTAGATGTCGGGTCGATCCAACACGGACTTTCAGGCTGTGAGCGACGAGGCGCTGGACCGAGAGATGGTGACGATGCAGACACGACCACTCTCGGAATCGGCGGCTGCGAGCACGGTGCACCATGCTTAGAGGCATCGAGGCGAGTAGAGATGATATTAGGAATCACCACCTGCATAACCTTCCAAATATGGACCCCATGTACAACAGTAAAAGCAAAATGAAGGGGAACCTTATCGACCTCGTACGATGGCCATCACGAACACTGCAGCCAACAACGGATGTTGTTCTTAGTAGGACACACATCAAGGCACCCTGCTCCATTGAAGTACGGTAGATATAGGGTCTGTGGGCCTGGTACCTTGCTCCTAGAACAAAGGGAATTGGGATAGCTCGCACCAAAGCCTACCTCACACCACCGTCAAACACGCTGTATTTACTTAGTAACAAAACGAGCAAAACGCATACTGCCAGCTTCAATGTCGAACGCGCCCCACACGGTGATATCGTCCTCGACGGCTGCGGCCGCGACGATCCCTCAAATATGTTCGATCGCTTGCGAAATGAATAAGGTCTGTACTAGAGTAGCGTGTCAATGTATCAAGATGCCGAGGAAGAGAGCGGTAGCGACGAAACGCGCGAGGTGCAGGACAACATATATATATGAACGTGTTTCGCGTTATCTTCATAATTACACAAAGACTTCGCATACGTAGAGACTAGCAATCTCCTTCTTCTTCATTCGCTCGCCGGTCCGTGGCTGCGCAGGCGGCGGCGCGGGGGCTCGTCTGGCTCTTCTGTCGTCGCCCTACGACGCTTGTGGCCGCGGGTGAGGCCCGTGACGGTCGGTCAAATCTTTGCAGGACAACATAGCGACTAAATACGATGATCGTAGCAAGACCAAGCGCGACTATGACGGGATCCATGGCACTCGATGCGAGGTACGATGCCAGGAGCTGAGGTAGCGAGGCAAAGTCCTGCGTCGCGTCGAGAGTACTTGGCGCCTAGAAAATACATCGAAAAGTCTAAGACGGTCATCGCTGGAGCCGGGTCATCATAGGACCAGCCGTCGCAACAATGGAACGGAAACAAGCGACCTGCCGTCATGTGACCTGCCGTCATGTGATCTATCGGGGCGTCGAAGAAGGCGGCATAATATATGGAAACCGAGAGATCTCATGTCTGGGAATCATTAAACGCGAATTTCTCGCGTTGTAGGCATCGAACGGCGACGCGACTTGGTTTTATGGGCTCTCCAGAGTCGTCTCTACACCCCTCCAAAGTATGAGCGATTTCATTTGGAATGTCCATGTTGTGATCGGAGACCTGGGCGCCGGTGTCAACAAGCCAAGATCGCGACGGGCATCGTGTGATAGGCTATAAAGGTTTTGAAATCGGGCCAATGAAACGCATCCATTTCAGATGGCTCGAGAAAGAGAGGTCAAGCCAATGTGGGCGATGAGCTGGACGACCGTCACATTGTACGGCGCGAGTAGCTTCAAAAGAGCGAGCCAAAACGTGCTGCGAGCTTTGGAGCGGAAGCGCTGTCGCAAACCCGGCGCCGTCGACCACGCGCGGACCGACAGTTTCATTTTCATTGGCAATCAACACGTTGATGATTGTGCTGTCTGGACGTACAACTGTTGCAAATGCAGTAGTTTTTGCAGCGATCTTCGACCCCAACTGTGTTTTCAATCCGCTGCTTCAGCACGCCACCGTACAACTGTTGGGAATACGGCAAGGAGGTCGCAAGCGAGCGCCCTGTCGACTGTGGACAGTGAAACTCGTGCCGCCGCGGTCAGTTCACTTCTTCTATGTGTATGTACGCTCCATCAGACCTAGAGCGGACGGGCGCAGTACGCCTGATGCTTTCAATGCGGTCAAGACCGAGGTGAGACGCTGACGGACAAAGCTTTGGATATACACATTGGCAGCTAGGCCGCACGCCTCTTCGCTCATATCGACACGAACCCATCGCGTTCTAACACGGCGCAAACCTTGCCCACCTCGGGAGCACTCCACCACAGACGCGTCATTCTTCACTTCCATCGAGACTCTGGATGGCCGTGCGTGCAGCCTCACCGAGCACCGGAGATGCAGCCCGTCGACTTGGAAAAGATCGCAGCTTCTGCAACGCGTTGGCATGAGCAGCGGATCTTCAGGGGACGCGTACGCTGAGGACGCCTTCGAGGACGACGAGCAGGACCTTAACATCAACGATGGGCCCATCGATGCTCATGCGGGCGATGGCTATTCGGACGACGACTTTGAGCTCGACGAGGTTCCCACAGCGTCACTGGACAACCCGCTTGGCGTCAATGTCGTTGTCCCATTGCTGCACGACGAGGAGCTTCAACCGTCGTGCCGTACACGCGCGCCGCCAACGCTGCCAGCGCTCAATACCTTTGTCGTTGCCAAGCTTCGTCGCCTTCACGCAACGCCGGTCGACACGCGCTTGCAGGTCCCCGTGCCCGCTGCCCTACTCGCCCGGCTTGGCCGACCGTACCATCCACCATCACCACCATCAACGTCGAAAAACCCAGTTGAACAACGCACTAGTATACCGCGAGTGCTCGTGGACAGGCTCAAGATTCAAACGCTCTTGGCCGTGATGGCCCATGAGACTGCCACGTCACCACCGCACCATCGCACTAGGCGATCGCTCTTTACGTACACAGCGTACCACACGAGCCGGCTCCAGGACCAGGCGTGGGCGAGCCAAGTCGACGCGCTCTACGCGCGGCGTCCGGATCCGCTCGCGATCGCTGCTGCCGCCATGAGTGCACTTCGTCCCGCCTACGCGCCTCTCGATCCCACGTAGCGATGTCACAAAATATTCAAAATTATTCAAATATATTCTTGATTTGCTAAAGTTGAAGAGTTATAAAATAGGGGCGAGCGCTACGCCACCGGGTCTATCAGCAGCGCCTCGAGTCGCTGGCGCTGGGCGGCGAGCATGTAGTGAAAGTCGTAGCCGTCGCCCGAGGGATGAAGCGTGTGCTCGGCCGAGCCGCCGAGGAACGTGGGGATCACAGACGGCGGCATGACCTTGAGCAGATCGACTCTCGGCGTGTCCATAAAATGCGCCTTTTCCCGGAGCCGCGTCGGCAACAGCGGCGAAATGATCTTGGTGAGCGTCTTGACAAGCAGCGTGAGCGGCCCGACGCAAATGTTGTCGATGCGGTCCGGGTAGTTGCCTTGGCACACCTCAATCATGGCCTTCGTAAGGCGCATGTCGACCTCGCGGTACCCGACGTTGGCGCAGTCCGTGACCAGGGTAAAGGTCGAGACACCTGGCGGCATGAGCTCGCGGATGCCGAGCTCGAGCATAAAGACGTGCGTGCGCACCTCGAGGTCCTTGTCCATCGTGCTCCAGTCCTTCTTTTTCGGTCGGAGCCAAAGAATCGGCCGGCGCTTCAAGTCGTAGCCAAACCAGTACATGGAGCCACTGCGCAGCTGCGGTGCGACCTCGTCCGACGTGATGCTACCGGCGCGGTACTCGGTGCGCCAGCTGAGAATGCGGTTGAGCTTCTCGGCAGCATACTCGATCGACCGGTTCGGGACGCTAAGGACACTGTGGAGATAGTCGTCCTTCAAGAGGAACTTGGCCTCCTCGGTCGACTGCAGCATCTTGCGGAACGTCTGGACGCGCTCGACCTCCACAGGCGACAAGCCATCCGGGCTCGTCGATTCGTCTGTCGAGGTCGTGCTGGACGTTGGCGACGGCGGCGCCGAATCGCAGACAGTGGATGCATTCGAGGCCATTGACGTCGTGCGCAGCGTGGGCTTTTCGAGCGTCAAGTCACTCGCGTGTCGGTGGACCTTGGGCGACGGGACGGGCGTCGTCAACGGCGTCACAGCCTCCTGCGGGTTGGACGGCTTGATGTCCATGGATTTGCTTCGGCGCGACGGCGTGTGCACGCGGCGAAGGCTCGGTGCAAAGTGGGATGGCGACGAGAGCACTTCAACCGCGTGGAGGTCGTGGAGGTAGACTTTGCCGAGGAAGCACCACACGACGAGGACGACCTTCTGCAGGAACGAGACTTCGGCGAGGCTGTCGAGGAAGAGGATGACGAGGAAGGACATGGCCAGCCATTGCATGCCCTCGTGGGGCTTGACGTGGCTCGAACCCATGGTCACTTGCTTACTGCACTGGCCGTGACGTTAAACCCTGAATCTCTCCGAATCTGGGCACGCCGCTTTTGCACCAATGGCATCGCCTGATATCAAATCCTCATCTCGGATTGGTTGAAAGCGCAGCGTGTCTGGGCACCCCATTCTTTCCCCTAATACAATTTCATACAAACATCGAGTATACGTCTGCGGAATTCGAATTCTATAGCGGGCCAGAATGCCGGTCCTTCCTCGTGTGGCCATTCGACTTGACCTTTGTATGATGCAACCTCCGCGATGATGCAAGCACACAGACGTGGCGACGTGGCACCGCCACGACATAAGGGCAGGAGCTGCAAAGCACAGCAACCAACTAACTAAAGTCACAGTAGTCGAGATACTAAATCCCTTTCAGAATTGAAGCCCAGAGTGAGGACGACATCGACGACATCGACTGCATGTACTTAGTAGACGTCGGTCTGTAGGTCAGTGGACGGTCGGCGTTGGACTTTGAAATAGCAAAAAGATTCACACAGACACGACGACCCTTCCTGGCCGATCTGCAGGCTTCCGCCAGAGATGCGGTCCTGCTGGTGGTTGTCCTTGAAGAGAAGGATGGGTTCAAGGTGGCTACTTGGGAGCGAGGTAGTTGAGTGAGATGCATTCCTCCTTGTGGCGCCAAGATACTTTTTTGTCGGTTTGGCCATCTTCAGCGCTCGACGCAGAATATTTGAACGCGGTGTTAACTTATACGTGTACGACGACTAGAGAGGCTGCGCGTGCGAGACGACAGCCGACTCGGGCGTCTTGGTCGGAAGCGCTTTCATGCGCTCCTTCTGGGACGAGAGCATGTACTCAAAGTCGAAGACATCGTGGTGGCCGTGCGGGTTGAGCATGTGCGTGGCCTTCCCGCCCATGAACGTGGGAATGTACTCGGGCGGCATAAACTCTTCGAGTTCTTTGCCCGGCGACTTCATGAATTTGGCTTTTTCCCGGAGTCGCGCGGGCAAAAGCGGCGCCAACATACGCGTGAGCGTCTTGACAAGCGTCGTGAGTGGCCCAATGCAAATGGACCCGATGCGGTCCGGGTAGTTGCCCGAGCAGACCTCCATGAGGCCCTTCATGAGGCGGATGTCGACCTCGCGGTACCCGACGTTGGCGCAGTCGGTCACAAACGTAAAGGTCGTGCAGCCCGGTGGCATCATGTGCTTGACGCCGAGCTCGATCATAAATACATGTGCGCGGATCTCGACGGCCGCATCCATCTTGGACCAGTCCTTCCGCTTCGGCCGCGCCCAAAAGATCGGACGGTTCATGTAGTCGTAGCCGTACCAGTACATGGAGCAGCCGGCAAACTGCATGTGGACGTCGGGCAGCATAATCGAAGGTGCGCCATAGTCCTGGCGCCACGCAATGCAGCGCTGGAGCTTCTCGGCCGCGTAGTTCATGGTCCGGTTCTTGACGTTCATGACGCTAAAGAGGTACTCGTCCGTGAAGAGGAACGCGCTGGCCTCGTCAAAGTCGAGCATCGACTTGAACGTGGCGAGGCGGTCGCGGTCGTCCGGGCTCAGTGACGCAAGCACCGTCGACGCCGTTGCCGCCAACGCTTGTTGGTGCTGCTGGCGCGTCTCGGGCGTGGAATGTTTGTCGCCCGAGCTCGGGAACCGATGGCGAAGGGCGGCCGCCGACGCACTGCGCTTCCGCGCATCGGCCTCGGAACTCGGTGCCATCGACTCGACGGGCGGCGCGTAGCTGCCCCGCTTGGCCCGCGGGAGCTTGGTGTACTGTCCGATGGTCGGGAGCATCGTCGGCACTTGCGCGTGCGGGTCGTGGAGGAAATACTTACCGAGCCACGAGAGCGCAACAAAGGCGACCTTGTACGCAAGGCTCATCTCTTGGAGGCTGTCAAAGAGGAGAAGCGCGGCCATCGACGCGCAGAGCCAGAGCATGCCCTGATGACGCACGTCCATGGCGGTCTTGAGGTCGGAGCGGAACTTCTCTTCTTGGTACTGGAGGTCCATGATGGTTTCTTCGGCCGTCGGCGCAATCGAGCGCGTGACGTCCGGCGAGAGCACGTAGCGCGTCCGCGCATTCTCAAATGAAATCGTCTCCGAGTCCATGGGGCTAAAGTAGCCGCGCGCGAGGAGCTGGTTCCCGAGCACGAGCGCTGCTTGTTCGTTGAGCAGGCCGACGCTCATGAGGCACGTGACCGCGTCGTTGCCGTAAAAACACTCCTTTAGCGTGAGCTCCTTGGACGCGTCAAACGACGAAAAGTCCAGGTCCAAGTCGACGGCCGACATGGACAAGGACTCGTCCGGGCGCGGGTCCTCGACGACGTAAAAGATCTCAATCTCGATGAGCATGCTCACAAAGAGGTTGTGCAGCTCCGGGCAGTAGTACCCGTTCGTTTGGTTTTGCTGGCCGACTTGGGCTTCGTCTTCGTCGTCCGAGCCGGCGGGTTCACTCCCGTCTTGGCGCTGGTAGTGGAATTGCCGGTGGAGGTTGTACTGCGTGCGCGAGACAGTCTCAAAGAGGCAGTCGTCGTCGAGCAACGTGTACTGCGACACCATGTGCTTGAGAAAGCCTTCGTTGAGGAGCGTGTTGCCGAGCACGAGGGCTTCGGTGCGAGAGTTGCACCCGACGTGCTTTTGGAGGATGTCAAGGACGTCCTTCCCGCGGAGAAAAAGGCTACCGCGCTGCGCCTGCAGGTCGTGCACAAGGCGTCGCGCGGCGTCGATGCGCTTGCGGTCAATGCCGCTGTTGGCGTCAATGTCGGCGTCATTCTCGTGGGCGACGACGGCCGCGGCCTCGACGCGGGTCGTCTTCTTCACGCTCAAGATCGTGGTCTGGATCGACGAGATCCAATTCTGCTTTTCTTGCGACGAGCGCGCGTCGAGGATCCACTCCTTTGTCGACTTTGTCTCGGCGTCGACCTCGAGCACGCGGAAGCAGTGCAGGTGCTCGGACGAGACGACGACGACCTCGCACGTGGCGCCGATGAGGTCCACGGACTCGAGCTTCGCCTTGCTGGGCTTGGCCGTGTCCTCGAAGAAGAGGAGCGCGTCGGCCTCCAGCGCCATCACGCGCGTGATCCACTGGTACTCGGACGCGCGGAGGAGGACCTTGCCGCGCATGCTGCTCTTCGTCGACCGCAAATATATGTGAAATGACCAACCGGCGTGGGAAACGAGCCGCGTCGACGCGTGGAAAACGTGCGTTATAGAAAAACACACGCGCTGGACACGTTTGTGTGATTTTTGGCGCCAAGGCAGTCGGCCTCGAACAGGTCGGTAGAGCCAGAGAATTGAGATCGTCTGTGCATTTAGTGTCGTCTTCCTCGCCTGTCAGCAATTGACAACGCTGCGCTTGTGCTTGGAAGGCCAGAGGTTAACGCGCGTCAGACGTACAGAGGTGTGTGAAAACGGCAGCCTCGACTCGACTTTGGCCTGCACGTTAGCAAGTACTGTAGCGGACAACAGCAAGGGGCAACTGCATGCATAAGTCACCGTCCGCAACCACACGTAGAAGGATAGTATCCGATACATCCGATATTCCTTGGGAACTATAGCGTTTCGAACAACATGCCATTATCATTGCCGGCGCGATGTGCACGGGCAGAAACGACTAGGAGGGGCCTTTCGCTGGCTCATACTGCCATCGACATGACTATACCTTGCTTTGCTCGCAACGTGATCTCGTTGAGCGCTGGAGGAATGCGTCTGCCTTGCTGCTGCAGTCGACGCCTCTACGGCGTCCGCGTGTTCGGTTTGTTGCACATGCTGGGATTACAGCGCGGCCCGTGCAAAACGTGAAAAACGCGAAGCAGCGCGTGGGAAACCCCCGGCATGTGTCACAGCCGCCGATCATGTGTATCCGGAGTCCGGATACTCGTTCGAAAGAGTATCAAAGTGTCAAGCTACTGGCGTGCGTCTGTGGCCCCGCCCAGGTACTAGATGGAAGCATTGACGTGAGCTATCGACGCAATGGCAAGATTCACGGGCCTAGTAATGACGATGTTGGCCATCATGGTACACCATGCACTGTCCCCCGTTATTCTCATGACGCTGCTCATGACGTGGCCTATCCACAGCAATGCCTCTCGACTTATGGCCAATCATCGTGTCAACCCCAGCGTTGGTCTAGCTGCAAGGATCTAGAACGAACTGGTTCCAAGGCAGTAGACTGGTAAAAACGCAACCGTGAGGCAGTCCACTGGGCTGTAGACAACCGCATCCGAGATCAAGACACCCGTCGAGCTGCCACCGTCAAAGGTGTCCGCGTCGTCGGGACTGTTGAGCTTCATTGCAAGTTTATTGGAGCTGGTGGCATTGTTGATCGAGAGGACATGGACAAGCATGTTGAGGAGCTAGAGTAATAACAGGAAAGGTCTGCTGATTGCAGTCTCTGGCACCAAAATCACGCTCGACGCCATGGGCTTCAACTACTGGTGCGACAACGGTGGCGGAGCCAAGTCCAAGTTCTTGACCAAATCGACGGGTGTCGTGACCTCGGGTAATGTCGTCTACAACCAGGCCAACTACGTCGCAATTGCGTTTCTACCAGCCACTCCCCAGAACCATATGTCTTTTGACGTCAAAGACGTGCTTTTTTACTTTACGAGGTTAGATGAAGCAATTTTCGACTTAGAGTTCCACAATAAGCGCCCCATACCAGATTTTGTGGTCCTGAAAGCGTTTCTTACGACAGAGCAGGTAGGCCTTGACGCCATTCAAGAGAGGCTGCTGGTCTTGGCGTTTCCTGTGCTTGCCGGCGCCAACAACGATGCATATACTCTTGTGCCCCTTGGCTTCCATGAGCGGCAGCAACTCAGCAAGCAACTGTTTGGCGCCTTGGAGCGAGAGGTAATGCACGTCGATCTGGCCCGTCGCGACGCAGTTCCAATTGCGAGAGCGAGCGATAGTGTCGGCAGCCTTCATAATCTTCACTTGCTGTCTTTCCTTGATATCGCGTTGGATAGCCAGCTCCCAATTAAAGCTGTTCCAGTCACCCGTCGCCAGCGCTCTCCTCGCCCTTTCGTACGACTCTTGGAAAAGGTCATCTTCGTGAGTCGTGTGGAACTCGGCATAGATGTAGTCAACTCCCGTCGACACTCGATGGGGCTGGGCTAGATTCTACATACTCACGACACATTAGCATGCTCGTTAATTCGGCAGTCGATAAATCATTACCGAGTTCCATGTGAGGGCGAGGCCGGACGGAACGCTCGAGTTGGTCATGCTGCACTTGCCGGAAGATTGTCAACTGAAAATCACTCTGGAGTCTTCTTGTATCGATGTTAGCCTGCCTTGTGCCATACGTTTTCTGCTCCCAAATAACGTTGACCGGCACTCACACCCTGTGCTACCTCGTGGCGGGGGTTCAAATTTGCCCCAGTCAATGTTTGTCGACAACAGGGTTCATCGTCCAGCTTCCACGCACTTTCTCGACATCTTCTCGCCAATCGGCACAGTCCAACCGTGGCTCTCTATCGCACCTCGCCATAATGCAAAACTGTTGTCCCACATCGTCCTCGTACAAGAACGTGCTTGGAAATTGCACCAGTGTCCTCACGCAACTTGTGTCGAGCCGTTGGCCCACTCACTGGTCGGTGCAGTCATGATATTTATTCAGTTGAATTTGTACACAAATTATATGTCGTCCATGCCGTGTTGGTCGGGAAACGGCCCGAGCGGACCTTCCTCGTCGTCGTCGATGGTTTGGCCTGCTGCCGCGAGGCTGTCGACGATGCCAACATCCATATCGGTATCGCTACCGCTATCATCACTATAGGCCGAGCCCGAGAGGTCGTCGTAGTCGTCGTCCGTGTCGTCCGAGTCGGCGCCCATGACAAAGTCCGAGTCGTCTTCTTCCGAGTCTTCTTCAACCGTCATTTGCGTGTCGCCCGTGCTTTCGTCCGGATTGTCGCGCGCATCGTCGTCCTTGAGCACCTTGAACATGTTGACAAACTCGGTAATGCTTGGCATCTCTTCCTTCTCGACCATCGAGAACTCGACCGAGGGTTCACCAACGACGTCGACGACCAAGTCGAACGACCGCAGGTGCAGCGACGTCTTGCGGCCCGTCTCGATCGCGTCGACTTCGCTTCGGCTCAAGAAGAGCGGTGGGTTCAAAAAGCAGAGCCTAGACAGGCAGCATCATTTTATCGACGTGGAGAAAGGGCCGGTATTCACCCTTCAGGAAGAAAGAAGAGGTGGCCACTCGTGGTCTTGCGATAGCACTTGACAAACGATTCGCCGTGCGTGCTCACGTAGCGCTGGTTGCCCGTCGTGGGCTCTGCGATGACGCGGATGTGGCTCATGAGCTTCTGCAGCTGCATCTGGACGCCCGCATGGAGCTTGGCTTGTGTTATGGTCGTATCATTCTCCAAAGCAGCGTCATGGAGGATGATGTTTTCGTTTGCAATCACTGCGCTCGTCGCGCTCACGTCAAAGGCAATGTACTTGAGCGTCGACTTGCGGTAGCTCACTGGCTTTTCCAGCCGCAGCACAAACTCGTACGACGCGACCTTGGTCTTGGACACGGCGTTCTACACGCATTCACTATACAGACAGTAGCGACGAGAGGGCAGAGTTACGTGGCGCGGCAGCTTGAGCAGCGCGTCGACGTTCGTGTACGGCGTCGTGACGACAAAGTCCTTGCCCGTGATCGTCACGTTGAAGTCGCCAAAGTCAATGTCGAGCTTGCCTTTTGGCGAGATGCAGGTCGCCTTGGGCAGCGTGAAGACGAGGTTGTCGCCCGCCGACCCGCTCATGGCCGCGGTCTTGACAAACTCGGCGTGGTGCTGCTTGGCAATGGCCAGCGAGCCCTCGAGGAACTTGATCGTGTTCTGCCACGTGGCCACGTCATCGTCCTCAACGGCGACGGCCTCGGCAATCGCAAAGCAGAGGGCTGCGCCGTCGCGCAGGTCGGCGATGCTGCGCATGCTCTCGTCCGCCATCTTAGGTCTCGGTGGTCGTCCAACAAACCGACAGTGGAGGAAATAAACGCATTCGGGCGCGTTAAACGTGGGTCAAACCGATAAACCCACGGCGTCGACGGCGTTCGATGACATAAAACGCAAATTTTGCCCATGCTGCTGCTGCGTGCAACCACCGCCCGCGTGCTCGGCCCGTCCGTCCTTGCGCGCTATGCGAGCTCGTGGACCTTCTCGTCGGGCCTCGCATCGCTGCCGCATCCCAAGAAGAAGCGTGGCGAAGACGCTGCCTTCGTATCGCCCACGGCGGTCGGCGTCGCGGACGGCGTCGGTGGCTGGGCGACCAAAGGTCCGCTCCCTTCCTATGCATGGCTCCTCACGCAATCTACATGAATAGGCATCGACTCGGGCGCGTACTCGCGCGCTCTTATGAAGGTCTGCGAAGCCACGCCCGTGAGCAACCCTGTTGCCCGCCTCAATGCTGCGTACGAAGCTGCATCGGTACCTGGTAGCTCGACGGCCTGCGTCGTGAGCTTGCAAGGTAGTACATATCTACACGTGCGTCATGGATCATAAGGAGCAACGTCGTCGTAGGCGACGAGATTACGGCAGCCAATTTGGGCGACTCGGGGTTCCTTCACTGCCGCCAAGAAGACAACAAGTGGACGCTTCTCTTCGAGTCGCCGCCACAGTGCCACTACTTCAACTGCCCGCTCCAGCTCGGTATGGACAGCCGGGATCAGGTACACCGCTTGCTCAAGCCGAGGCGGGATCCACGAGGCTGTGCTTGTATTAGCCCAAGCATGCGGACGTAACGCAGCACACGGCGCTGCCAAACGACTTGATCCTGGTTGCGACCGACGGCGTGTACGGTGTTGCAGCAAGACCGCAGTGGTCGTCTCATGCGCTGGCGTAGGTTTGACAACCTCTTTACCGAAGAGCTTTTGCAGCTCCTCGACCAGATCTCCGAGATCCACCCGCCGACGCCCGACAACGTACAGCGTTATCGTACGAATCGATGGATCACCGTCGTTGTAGATGCCTGTCTTTGCCAAAATCATTGCTGAAGTGACGCAAAAGGTCGCAGCCTCCGAGACGCGCATGACGCCGTTCGCCGTGTCGGCGCGCCACGCCGGGTACCGTCGCCCTTGGTTCACATCAGTATGTTGACGCGCATTTGGTGCTAGGTACAAGTCGACGACGGGTGGCAAGATGGACGATATTACAGTGGTTACGGCGCTCGTTCAGGAAGGCAGCTAGAGAAATCCCAACAGCTCCGCCCGCTTTACATACTGTAGCCGATTGTACCAAAGAGCACCACCGCAAGCACAGTCATTTGAGAGAGCTTGCGCGCTTGGCGCGACGATGTCGTTGCCGGCAAGGTGTCGTGCGACGCGCTCGTCGCGGCATCTGGAAGCGTACTGGGATCGTTGCCGGCGTTCATGGCGGGCGAGCCCGACATCGCCGACGGAAGGCACGACGCCGCGAGGCTGCGTACAAACGCAGGCATCGTGTACGTCGACCCTTGGATCGTTAGTGTGCAGTTGGGAAGCGCAGCCGTCTCGAGGCTGCTCAACGTCGCCGTGCACGCCGGGTCCGAGCAAAGCACGGGCGTCTGCGCCGCCGTCGGCCACGCCGTGGGCGGTGTCAGCGTGTAGTTGGTCGCCGAGCTGCACTTGGTGATGTTGGTAAAAAACGGCAAGAGCGTCGAAGCCAGGCTCACGTAGCTGCACGCGTTCGACGTCGTCGCTTCGAGCAGCCCAAGGCTCGCGGGATTTGAGAGCGCCATGCTGGCATGACACAGCGCAGCGAGGAAGAAGTACGACGCGCGAAGAGACATCCGTCAAAGCGAGTGTGGGGGCAATGGCAAAACGCAAAGTGTTTGGATGTTGTTGCATCAGAGGTGCAAAATTGGCCTGTCCGTAAAGCCCGGCTTGTCCACGCCTGGCCGTGCTATTGAGGAAGCGTTCCGCAGCAGACGTACCCAGCAGTACAGAGATAACGGGGTTGCTGACGGCGACGACACAGTCGTGTGAGCTCGGTCCTTGGTGTTCTTCTGGGACTGCTTCTGGGCGTCGCACCAAGCTTCGACACGTCTGTCCAAGCTTCTTGGACGTCGGCGCTGCGCAGGCTCGTCACAGCTATGGGCAACCGTGGCCGAAGTCTCTTGGAGCCGAGCGATTAGAGTTGATGATCGTTTGCATTAGTACACTATAGTCGTATATTCGTATTCGTAGTAGGGTTGGGTTAATAGGGCGAGTGGGCCGGCGCATTGCCTGCGAGCGCCTTGGCCTTGCGCGCGGACGCCATGTAGCCGACGATGAGGCAAGCGAACGCAAAGATGCTCCACCACGTGACGATGCGGAAGCCGATGCGGTACATGTACGCTTCGTCCACCGACGAGGACGCCGACGACGCGCCCATTTCCGTGTTGACCAAAATGATGTTCATGACAAGGCCCGGAATGTAGTTGGAGGCGGCGTAGCCAAGAAAGTTGTAGGACGTGTACGCAACCGAGGACGCGAGCGGGCGCAAATGCGGCGGCGCGCACGCAATCACAATGCCCGAGCACGGCGAGAGAAGCGCGCCGCCGCAAAACAGCATCGTCCAGAGCAGCACCGCGATGACAAACGTGTTGTTGGAAAACGAAATCGGGAGCGCGGACGCGACGCTAAAGACGCCGAGCACGACGCAGATGCGGAGCGCCTTGGCCTCCTGGAGAGGGCCGGCGTAGCCGCCAATGTAGTCGATGAGCTTGCCGCCAAAGACGACGCCGAGGATCGGGCCAGTGCCCGAGACGACGAGGTACGCAAGGTGGATCGTGTACGCCGAGTCGTCGAGGTTGGTCGTGAGGAAGAGCGTCGTCCAGTACTGGATGCCCGTGACGCAAAAGAAGAGCGACGAGAGCCCGAGCACGATCGACGTAAACACTGGAATGCGGAGGAGCGTGCAAATGTTGCTCCAGTTGCTCTTGCCGTCGTCAAAGAACGAGTCGTACTCGTCCTCGTCTTCGTTTTCCAGGTACGAAATGGACTCGCGCCGCGACGGACGCATCACAATGTGGTCGTCCGGAATGCCAAAGATACCAAGCGCGAGCGGCAAGACAAGCACCACTTGGAAGAGGAACGGCCAACGCCAGCAGAAAAAGTTGCCGCAGCCCACGTAGCTTTCGCCGACCCAGACAGTCACGGACCCAAGAAGGTACCCGACCGTGACGCCCATGGGCACCGCGCCTTGGAGGTAGCTCATCCACTGCCCGCGGCGCGACTTGGGGGCAAACTCGTGGACCCACAGCGGCGCATAGACGCACAAAAACGCTTGCGTAAAGCCAATGAGCCCGCGGAAGAAGATCAACAGCAGCTTCGAGTACCAGTGGTTGACCGGCGTAAAGGCGAAGAGGAAGACGCACGCGTTGTTGAGGACGAGGCTGAAGCCCAGCACGACCTTGGGCGAGAAGCGCCGAAAGAGGTAGCCCGAGAGCGGCGAGCCGAGCGAGAGCGCAATATAGACGATGGCGCCGAGGAGGCCTTGGTCTTGCGGCGTGAGCTCAAACGTCTCGGTGAACTGCACGAGGAGCGCGGGCACGGCGCCGGCCTCGAGGTACACAAAGATCTGCGCCAAGATGATGAACTTGAAGAGGTAGGCCGCGTCCTTCTGGCGCGAGACGTGGAGCGCAGCCTTGTCGACGCGCGCGTCATTGATGGCCGTCGTCGTCGACGTCTGGTACGAGACGTGCTTGTCGGTCGGCAGGAGCGACGCCGACTCGACGTCCGTAGCTCGGGGCATCCTCTTCACGACTGAGACGCCGGGGAGCTGCGCCTAAAAAGGGACGTGCGTTTTTTACACGTTTTAATCACTTGCCATACAAACACCAAGTGCAAACGAATAAAACCACACGCCAAACGCCTTGGATCAATGAACTGCTGTTTTTATCAAGTGCTTTCAAAGGAAGTGGTGTATTTTAATTTAAACGTTTTTAAGTATTTTATATTTTAATGCGAGCATAAAGCCGGCACAGTGTCTTTGTATGGACCTATCACTCGCGACGCACAACCGCGTATTTAAATACATGCGTGGCGTTGCAGCCATTTGATAAGTGGTCAAAACTGACTTCAACGTTGCGACACGCGAAGGCAAATAGTGTACGCAGCCGTCGCGTCGCTCGCATTTTTATCGTGGCCGACAAGCTACTCGTCGTGTACTGGTATACTGAAAGTGCCCATCACTGCCGCGTCGGCACGCGTTTGGGATGACGACGACGTAGTCATCGTACCTACCGTGCTTGCGGCGTGCCAAGGGTCTCACTGTCACAGTACTCAGATATCACACTATTCACGTGTCATGCGTGTCAACGGATATGGTGTGTGTATCATGCGGAGTCGGAGGGTGACGAGGATGACGAGGAGGTCGTGATGGCGGCTGCAACTGCGACCTCGTCTCTTCTTGATGGACATCACAGTGCGGAACGTTCTGGTAACGCGATATGGCATTATGACGTCCTCTATCAAGCGTCGTCTCTAGAGTCTCTACGCAAAGGTGGGCTGCCAGTTGCCGCGAAGGAGGTCCGCGATCGGGACGCGGGTTTGCGCCATGCTGTCGCGGTCGCGCACCGTCACGGACTGGTCCGCAAGCGTCTCGAAATCCACCGTGACGCAGTACGGCGTGCCGACTTCGTCTTGGCGGCGGTACCGGCGGCCTAGCACGTACGAAACAAGTGAGATGAACGATGCTTGTCGTCTACGTCGTCGCACCGATCGAGCCCGTGACGTCAAAGTCGCAGCTCGCTTGCACCGTGAGGTCGCGGTAAAAGTTGCGCGCGACATCGACGAGCTCGCCCTTGCTCTGCAGCGGCAAGACGGCAAACTAAAGCGGTCGCATATGAGCAGTGCGGGCGTTGATGGACCCTGTACCTTGTACGGAGCAATGTCCGGGTGCAGCCGCAGGACTGTGCGCTTCCTACACGCCCACATTCATTTGCACTGTCTACCGACGACACCGATGACGCACCGGCCAGCGACTTCTTCCTCGTCGTATGCATCTAGGAGCATGGCGAGCAAGACGCGGCCCGTGCCCAAGGCCGGCTCAACCACATGCGGCATGCACACCTACGTAGCGTCTCTGTGAGCAAGCCACGCCAGTGGTCGTAACTACCTCCTTCGTCGTCGGGTCTTGGTAGCTCAAGTCCTTCTTGGACGCTTCCATGTGCTTGCGCAAGTCATAGTCGGTGCGGTTGGCAACTACAACATGATAGTCGACTGGTGTTCTGCTCGCAAATTGTGCCACGTACTGCCCCAGAGCTCGCTCCAGCCAAACGGGTACAAAAACTCAATGTCGGTCGTCGCACGCGCGTAATGAGCAAGTTCCTACCGCAGGCCTCAACGATCCTGCTGATCCAATGCACGCCTACGGCTTGGTCGTGGACGCGCTTCTTGAGGTTGGCTTCCTTCACGCCGTGCTTGATGAGCCAGTTGTAGCACTCGTCCACCCAGTAGTTGAACCTGCAGACTTCGAGTGAGGATCCAAGTCGTTGCCACAACGACCATACCAGTTGTCCGACTCGTCCGGGGGACAAAAGTACTGCAATTCGAGCTGCTCAAACTCGCGCGTCCGGAAGAGAAAGTGGCCGGGCGAGATCTCGTTGCGGAACGACTTGCCCATTTGGCCAACGCCAAATGGGAGGCGCCGGCGCATGGTCGAGACAACGTGCTGGAAGTTGATGTACGCGCCTTGCGCCGTCTCGGGGCGAAGGTAGACCCACTCGCTACGCATAGAACCTGAGGTCATGCTTCAGATAGGAAGGACCATGTACCTCGTCTCGTCGGTCGAGCCCATGTTGGTGCGGAAGAGGAGGTTGAAGAGCCGCGTCTTCTGCAGCGACGAGCTGCCGCACGACGGGCAGCTCAGCTTGTGCGTCGCAATGACCTCGTCGATCGCTTCGCACGAGAGGCCGCCGGCTTCTTCAATGCCTGTGACGTCGGACGCGTTCTCGATGAGCTTGTCGGCGCGCACGCGGCTGTTGCACTCCTTGCAGACTGTCATGGGGTCGGTAAAGTTGCCAATGTGCCCCGACGCCTCCCAGACGCGCGAGCTCAAGATCACAGACGAGTCGAGGCCGACGCAGTCCGTGCGCGACTGCACAAAGTGGCGCCACCACGCGTCCTGGATGTTCTTCTTCATCTGGACGCCGAGCGGGCCATAGTCAAAGCTGTTGGCGAGGCCGCCATAAATGTCCGAGCCGGGATACACAAAGCCGCGGTGGCGGCAGAGGTTCACGACCTTCTCCTGGAGGTCCGGCGCCTTGGTCACCTTGGCGCGCGACTGCACTTGGCCGGCGAGGCGGCCCACGATCGGTCGGCGCAACATGGCTGGCACGCGAAAGATTTGCTGGTGTTCATGCTGTCCTGTTGTTTTCGGCATATGCCACATTGAACAAGGACCTGTGTGTGGTCAACGTAAACAGAGCTGCGGGCCACACGAGGGCCAAGATTGCAGAAAGCAAGGATATTACCATGCTATTCCTGTGGTCTCCGAGCCGTGTGACCGACTGTGGCGGCGCAACGACGACCCACGGCGCCAGCGACGTTGAAGGATGATTGCGACATCGTACCATGCCGAATCCGCCACCAGTTTGCCGAACTGAAGCGATTGCACATGGCACATGCCACACCCTGGCTTTCACCCGTTCAACCGTATCCGGATACTGCAGGCGAGCGCCCCGGGGTCCGCTGATACTCGCTGATACAGGCCGCGACAGGGGGAAAGAAAGGCGTCGGGATATACCCATGGCCGGCCTCTGGTTGGGTGACCAACGCTTGCTGATGGAGGGTAAGTAATGTCTTCGTCAATTCAGTGAAGACGACGCTGGTGCCATTGTCGGGTGGGTGCACCGTCACGGCGCCTTGTTGTCGTCATCAGCACATACCCGTGGTCTGCTGCGCAGAACGGAGCAGGTGCAATTGCCGAGCGCTGCGCGTTTGCACGCACTTGGGTGCCTATAGAAATGACACGGTCCGGCTTGTAAGTTGAAGAACGGAATGAATGGTCGACGTCGCAGGCCACTTGATTTCACTGGATTTCACGGCCACGGGCGCACCTAGGCGCATCGGCATACAAAGCCAAGTGACACCTTGAATTACGGCACCCGCAAGGTGCGAGGGTGCAGCTGGGTTGGGAGAAACCCACGTGCACCTGGGCCAAACGCAACTTCAAGTTGATTTTCGTCGGCAACGAAGGCGCTCACTTTGCTTTTTGCGCTCCAGTGCTTCCATGGCCGACCTTGACTGCACAAGCATGCTGCCGGCCAAGGCCGTGTACACGATCAACTACTTTGGTCTTAGCGCCGTCGGCAACTTTCTCACGGTCTTCTTCAGCGCGTACTTTGACAAGTTCCAGATCGGTATTCTGCAGACGATCCCGTGCATCTGCAACCTCATTGCGCCGCCGCTCTGGGGTGCGATCGCGGACGTCCTCCGCAAGCAGCGCCTCATCCACATCCTCTGCATCCTCACGGGCTCGCTCCTCATGTTCTCGATCCAGTTTACGGCCTCGAGCTTCTACCTCGCGTGTTTTGTGGTCTTCCTCGCCAACTTCCAGTCGGGCCCGACGTCGTCGCTCCTCGACCAGGCGGTGCTCGCGCTCACGGAGCGCCTCGGCGCCGAGTACGGCAAGCAGCGTCTCTTTGGTGCTGTCGGCTATGGTCTTGGCGCGTACATCACGGGCGTCATTGTCTCGCAGTACGGCATCACGTGGGCGTTCAACATCCACCTCATTTTCTGCATCCCGACCATCTTTGCGCTGCAAATGATCCCGTCTATCGACACGCTCGTGCCGACGCACGCGACGACGACGCCGTCGGGCTCGTCGATGCCGACGCCGAGCTTCAAGACCGGCCTCCACGCGCTCTGCAAGAAGAAGGACGTGCTCGTGCTTCTCTTTGTCGTCTTCCTCGCCGGCCTCATGTTTGGTGTCCTTTCGTCGTTCCTCACGCTCAACTTGTATGAGCTCAGCGGCCACTCGGCGCAGATTGTCGGCATTGCCATTTGGTGCGAGACCATCTCGGAGCTCCCGGCCTTTTACTTTGCCGACCGCATCATCGAGAAGGTCGGCACCGTCAACGCGATGGCGATCTCGATCTTGTCGTACGGCGCGCGCCTCACGTGCTATGCGTTCATGACGAACGCGTGGTATGTGCTCCCGTTCGAGTTCCTCCACGGCTGCACCTTTAGCCTCGCGTGGGCCGCGTGCACCAAGTACATTTATGCGTCGGCGCCCCGCGGCACGGAAGGCATGATGATGGGCATCCTCAACGCGGTGCAGAACGGCCTCGGCCGTGGCGTCGGTACCATGGTCGGTGGCTACCTCTACAACACGTACGGCGCGAGCTTCATGTGGAAGGTGACGGACCTCGGTGTGCCGGTTGCGCTCGTTGGCCTGTATGTCTTCTCGTGCACGATGGAGAAGCCGGCGACCGAAGACGAGCTCACGAACAACGAGAAGACGCACCTCATCGCGTAAACCAACTGAACATGTTGACAGTAGCTAGTAGTATCCTTCGTCGTAAGACGACACCATAAACATACCTTTCTTTTCACTTTGCATTGTACCTTCTCGAATCTGGTCCGGGGATGTCCTTGCTCAGAAAAATCAAGTGCTGGATTCAAAGAGTATCCAGTGGTTAGCAAGCGATCCTACTCTTGTACATCGCCCTAATAGAACCAGCGATGTCGTCTCGTCAGCAAGGCTCGAAATGCAGCGACTTGCGTGGCTTTGTCGTGTCCAGTGGTCGTTTCTGGGTGGCATTGAGGTTTGAAGCGCCGAGAGCCACGTAAACGGTGACGAGCGAATAGGGCTAGGGAATGTTCCTGAAAAATGTTCGCTGCGATGCTGATGATGATTGGCAAATGCTTTGGTGATCGGTTCAAATGTACATGGCATTTGCGATTCATACACCACCGTGCATTTGCTTCTTTACGGCGCTGACACGAGCGCGCAGTTGCTTGCGCTCGATCGTGATAGTCAAATAGGCATTGATCGTGTATTGATTTCGGATATGTGTATATACTTTCAACGCACTTACTGTTCGCGAGAGGGTCATTCATACGTTTAGTTAGTCCATTAAGCACCGAGCCAATGGTTACGCCCAAATTGCCAGCCTAGCGTGGACCCTGTGGTGATACCAAGGAAGAGCCCGAGACACATGATGGCGCTGGCCGACTCGCGGTCTTCTTGCGGCACAAGTCGGGGTCCAAGACCAAACGTGATTGTACTGAGCACGCCCGTCGAGAGACCCAGCACAAAGTTGATCGCGAGCAGCCAAAGGAGATTGAGCGTGTGGGCGTCGGCCATGATGAAAAGCGGGTTGGCGCCGTTGCCTGGAAGCCCCACAAGCACAGCTACAAGCAGCACGAACCGCGCAACCGTCCATGTAAAGCACGACTGGAGCGAAAAGTATGGGTACAACTTTGGCGACAAGGCGCGGCCGAAGAAGTCACCATAGTTGTAGCAGAGGAGGACGCCGTCGACGTACCACGCGGTCACGGACGGATCGCTGGCGAGCTGGGACGCCGACGCGATACCAAGACCTGGAAAGGCCGCGAGTGAGCACACGTAGATAAGAAACTGGCTGGCCAGCGGCAGCAGAATGGCGCGGGCGATACGGCCGAGGCGCGCCCACATGTCGACGAGTGTTTCGCGGTTCACGTACCGCTTCGTCGTCTCCATTTCATTTCGTTCGACGAGGTAGTGGACGCTCGGGATGCGGAGGAGCTTGTGAAAGACAATGACGGCCAAGACGCACACGGCAATAAAGATGCCAAAGAAGATGTAGAACGAGACCTTCTGGACGTGCACCGAGTCGTCCTTGGCATGGGTCGCGCCGCCGACAAGGAGCTGCAGCAGCGTGTGCAGCGAGATGTTGATGATGCCGGACGTGCCGTTGCCCAATTGAATCGCATTTGTAAACGCAGCTTCGGGAAAAAGCGCCGAGAGCGCAAAAAACGCGGCCTCCGTGAGCGAGTTGGTCAAGCCGACGACGCCAAACGCAACAAGCACGATCGTCGCGCCCGTCTCGGGCGATGCGTTGAGGATGTCTTGAAGGAGGATAGCAATGGCGCAGAGTGCGTAGAGTGAAAAGCCGATGCGGACGCGGTTCCACATGCCGAGCTTCTTGTCAAGACCAAAGACGACCTGGACGAGCTGGGCGAGCAGCATCGGCCACGTCGTGACAGGCGTCGTCAGGTACTCAAACTGGACCGTCGTCGCATTGGCAAAGCGCGAAAAGTAGTACGACTGCGCCGAGAGGCAGGAGAAGTAGGCCCAGAGGCACGACCCGTTGAGGAAGAGCAGCGCCCACCAGATAAACCGGCGGTTGGCTTGAATGTCGTCAAGCACATGCAACGGAATCTCGTCGTCGTCGACGTCGCTCTCGTAGATGATGAGCTTGGCAGTCTTCTGCCCCATGATTGGCGTGTCCAGCAACAGCATAGCCTTCGAGTGGCAAAAGCGAGAATGACGCGAGAGAATATTATTACGTGCGATCATCCGCTCACGAGTTGCCGTTGCGGCTGCATCTGTGCACTCGTCGCAGGTGGCGCGCACCCAGACGTATTACAGTACACACGGGAGCTATCGCGCGCAGCGCGCTTGTCCATCGATGGTGGCGATGCTGGAAGTGACGAAGTTACATCTTTTGCGTTTCCAAGAAGATGTACCGATCTCCGACAGGCCAGGTCGAGCGAAGAGTGGCAAATTGTCGAGCGACGACTGTGCAAGCACGCAAAAGAATGCGAGAGACGCTAACGCTATGGCAGTGGTTGTGGACACTGCACACGGCTCGTGGCGGG